TCATAGAGACACCCATCAAAATCTTAAGGGAAGAGTTACAGACACATATGTCCACAGGGACTACTGGAAGGTCTCAAGGAAAGGAGGTGTTGGGCAGACATGGACAAATGGGACACCCACCCCTTGAATAAAACCATTTGCTTTCTCTTCTCTAGGTAGGATAGGTGATCTTAAAGGTTGAGGAGAAGATTCAGTAAATGTTGGGTACAGGAGAAGCAACCAGAATGTATTCATTAGTGTCTTTTCCATTAATCTAATGAAATACCCGAAGCAGGGCACTTCATTGGAAAAAAAGAGTGAAGCAAGGTAGTCTAGGGAAAATAAGGCATGGTGAAGGCTACTCAGAAACCTAGAAGTACTGTCTTTGCTTCTAAGAGAGACAACTGGATGCATTCCTTACCTCAGGACTTAGCATCTGTTTTGGAGCAGGATGCATGCTTTCCTGGAAGGAATGCCCAAAGAAAAACTAGGAACTTAGAAGGGGTATAATTGAGAGCAAAGATAAATACTTATCTTTAAGTCAGACCCCCTGCCTTATCATATAAATACCCCACCCCATGTCAAATAACTCAGTGTCTCTCCCTTTGAGAGCACCCATACTCGTGTTAGTGTGTGCTTCTGCCTTCTTCCTTGTCTGTTGTCTGCATGCCAACTTGTCTGTTCGCTTTATTGAGTATTGTCTACTCAAGAAAGCTCCTTCAGGTTTTCTTAGCATTGTGACTTGCCCGGAAATTCTTATTCTGTGACCAAAGTCAAGGACCCTAAGTAAAGAGTCCCCAGCTTTTCACACACACACACACACACAAAAGAGTCTTCAGCTTTTAGAGAAAAACTCCACAAACCCTCACCATTATCTGGATAAATAGGACACCCATCCAAGGGGATTATTCATTTATCTCCTAGTTCTGGAGTTTTACAGCCATGGTACTAACATCAGCTAGGGTCCAATGAAGATCTGGTGCTGTGTTAGAGAAAGTACATGCTGATGAAAGAGTCTGGGTGGCCAGTCGAGAAGACAGAGAGAAGTTCAAGTGTTAGGTTTGGGTTTTCACAATGCCTTGCTCTATGAGAACTCATTCCTGAAAGCGAACATTCCTCACCAAGGGCATTGGCTCCCCAGCACCCAATCTACCTATAGATGACTAAGCCACGCTTCTTAATGCTCTCATAACCTCACTGAAGGCCAAACCTAGAACCTTTGGTGGATAAACCACATCCAAAGTATCGCAGAGGATCTTGGAGTGGGGATCTGGGAAAGGCAAAGGAGAGGAGGATTAAGAAAGCGCCACAGTATACCAGAACACAGAGGAACAGGCCTTCAGAATACATCTGGTATCTCCACCATTTTCTGCGATAGAATCTTAGATCTCCACCTCTGTGTTGACCACAGGAGCCTATTTTCAGAAACCGTGCCCAGAGAGCTTACATCACGAGAACTTTCTGTGCTGTTTTCTTCATTTTTAAATGTGACCAGAGTTAGTTCTGAGGAGTGACCGTTTGGAAAAGAGTCCTTGGCATTGGAAGAGAGTGGTTGTTGAACTCTCCTTCGCCCCTCCCACTCCCTCAGCTGGGGAGATAGAGCGTGAGTAGGTTGTTTATGGTAGGAAGAAACAATGGGAAGAGTTAGGTGGGACCCAGGAAGCAAACTTTCCACTGCTCCTTCCTTCTCGGTATTTCCATTCAAGGAAGCGAAGGAACAACAACACCAAGATAAAAAAAAAACTTTCCCAGAATTATTCATTGTGAGACCGGGACTTAAATAGAAGGAAACCGATGTCTGATGATAATCTGATGGTTTGCTTCTACATTAGACAGAAGCAAGGTATGTCGATGTGGACTTCATGTCTAACTTATAGTCATTACTGACATCTTCCATTCTGTTTTTGACGGCATTTAGTGGTGTCACTGAGATGATAGGATCGGGGGACACAGGAAGGTATCACTTGAGATTGGTATGTGCCACAAGACCATCTAAGTTGACTAGTAAGGCTGAAGGGCACACTGTTTCAGGTTTATCCCATAGTTGAAAAAAATCTGACATTTTTTTCCTTTTGTTACTTAAGTAACCATCTAAGTTGACTAGTCTATGTTTATACACCTCTCCCTTTTCAAAAATTCATTTGACAATGGCTTCTGAATTAATTAGAACTCTATATCCCTTCTTAAACACATCACTAATGTAGCCAGAACAGAACACATTACTAATGTAGCCTAAACAGAAAAGGAACAAGACACCGATGCAAAACTGCAAGGTGCTTTTTGTAAGACTGTGGTGATTGAGGGGTGTTCACATGGGAAACCATTGAACTATTTGTCTGGGTAACCTCAGACCTACACTGACAGGATTTCTTCAGTTGTAGCTTTAGTGACCTGGAGTGAGAGTTGAGAGTAGCCAAGTCTCTTCCCTTTGCTTACAGAAAAGGGAACACACACACACACACACACACACACACACACACACACACATACATTATATATTCCATATATAATATATATTTATAATATGTATATTTCCTTTATATAGTATATATTATGTTTAATTATGGAAAAAGAAATACAATAACAGAAGCAGAGAGTAATTGAAGATGTCATCCCGTTGGCTTTAAAGACAGAAGAAAGGGCCAGAAGCTAAAGCATACAGGCCAACATTAGAAGCTGGGAAAGAAACAGATTCTCAAGAAAGCACCCATCTCCCAACATCTCCATTTCACTTCTGACCTCCAACACTGTGAAGAGAATAAAACTGTGGGACTTTAAGTCACCAAGCCTTTGGTCATTTGCATGACAGCAGCCACAAGAAACCAACAGGCTTGAAGGCATCCTAGGACCCGTGGGAGAAGTTTCCTTCTATCTGCCCAAGGTTCCTTGGAATCAGCTGACAAGAGAAGGTTAAATGGGAGAAAAAGATATCCACATGGATGAGCATGTACCTGCAGACAAATCACAGCATGGGTGACCAGCCACTGGTCCACCGTAACTTAACTGACGGGCGCCATGTTCTCCTATCCATTAGTAAAACTCCCAGAGGATAGATAGATAGTCATTTCTGGCATTCAATGGTGGTCTTGGGGTAAAGCAAGGGAGAAGATGCTGCTTAGGGAAGTAAGATCCCCTGGGGGACTCTCTTTCCTTCATTTAATAAGAGTCTAGGGTATTTTTCAAAGTCAGGGCTATGAGGAGTGAACTTTGTCCTGAAGCCAACTCATTATTTCAGTTTCCTTGTTGGTGTGAAGCGTCTGTTGATTCCCTGGGCTCATTAAGACCGAGGTTTGGTGTCCCCAGGTATCTTTCCTGTCACAAGAGGTAGAAACCTAGGACTGGGGGGATCATTATGAATTTTTGCAAGAAACAGAAAGAAAAACCTCTTGGATGGTTAGTTGTGTATATTTAGATTTGGATCCCTGGGGCTCAGGGGAGCATGTGTATAAAGTAACCTACTCAAGACCATCACTTGCTCCTGCATTGCCCACGGCTGGATTTGTTGGGTGACGTGGAAGGTGAACTTTGTCATCGATTGGGTTGGGGGTGGTTGGTGTTGAGTTGTCGAGGAAGGGCCTGACACAGGAGGGACTGCAGGTGTCCAGGACCTGGGAGAGCTGGTCTCATTTCTGGCTTCAGGCTCCACTCTCTGGAGACTGTCAGTCTGAATGTGGACACACTTCCTGGCTGCCAACTGGTAAAAGTTGCCGGTACCACAAACCAGGATGATGATAATCTTTTAGTGTTTGATAGTGAAATGATTATCGTTGTTCACTGGCGCCCAGGTTCTAGATTGAGTTCCAAAGCTGAGGAGATCAGTTGAGTCCCAGCTTCATCCTGGCCTATGGGAATGTTCAGCCAAAATCTGATTTTATCTCCCTACTCTGTATCCAACTCTTTCTATTGGCCTGTCTTTGTAATTTCCTGCAGCCCAGGCTTTTCCCAGCTTCTGACTCGACACGGCTTAAGTGTTCTGTGTACAGATTGTTCTAAACCTGTGCATGCATGTGCCTGTGTCAGCTCACCCCAGAAGCTTGTAAAAAAAAATAAATGACAAGGTTATATATCCAGAGCCGGTGAAGCAGAATCCAGTAGGGCTGACGAAGGTATTTGAAGGATAAAATATATTCTTCAATATCCCAGAGACATAGTATGCATGTAAACACCAGTTTTCCTCTTGCTTCTTTTCTTCCGCCCTTCTTTGGAAATAGTTTCAATATGCTTTATTATCTTTCTGTGACAGTCTTCTCAGTTTCTAAGAAGAGCTATATTTGTTTTTTAGATTTTTTTGTCATTATTAAAACAGAGTTTATATAGACCAGGTTGGCCTTGAACTTTTACTCCTCATGCTTCAGCCTCCAAATGCTAGGATTATTGGGTGTGTGCTACCGATTGTGGCTATTGATTTATTTATTGTCCTGGGGCTTGAACTCAGGCCCTGGGCACTGTCCTTGAGATTTTGTGCTCAAGGCTAGTGCTCTACCACGTGAGCCAAGGTGTGTGTGTGTGTGTGTGTGTGTGTTGTGTAGTTAAATGAAGATCAAGAGTCTCAAAAACTTTCCTGCCCAGGCTGGCTTCAAACTATGATACTCAGATCTCATCCTCTTGAGTAGCTAGTGTTACAGGCTACTTGGTTATGTTTTTGAGACAGATGTTCTTGGGTCAGAAAGCTGGAAAGATATTTAAAGTTTTTAAAGATTTATATATATTTCAGAAGCAGGGAGAGATTATAAATTTTAGAACTCTGGGCCTGGGCGCTGTCCCTCAGCGCTTCAGCTCAAGGCTAGCACTCTACCACTTTGAGCCACAGCAGCACTCCTAGTTTTCTGAGTGGTTCATTGGAGAAAAGAGTCTCATGGACTTTCCTGCCTGGGCTGGCTTTGAACCGCGATCCTCAGATCTCAGCCTCCTGAGTAGCTAGGATGACAGGCGTGAACCACCGGCACCCAGCTAAAGGTTTATTTTTTTATGCTGTGGAGGTGCCATGTAAACTGTTGTTTGTTTGTGTGTTTCTCAGGGTCATGGCCATTGAGCTCTGGAACCATACCCTCCTGCCTGACTTCATCCTCAAAGGCCTGTTCAGCCACTCACCACATGACATCTTCTTCTTTTCCCTGGTCCTTCTGGCCTTTGCAGCCACCCTGGCTGGCAATATCCTCCTCCTGCTGCTCATCCAGGCCGACAGGCATCTGCACACGCCTATGTACGTCTTCCTCAGCCAGCTCTCCATCATGGACTTGACTCTGATGTGTGCTGTGGTGCCCAAGATGGCGGTCAACTTCCTCTCAGGCCGGAAGTCTATCTCTCGGGGAGGCTGTGGGGCACAGATCTTCCTGGTGGTCACGGTTGGAGGAGCTGAGTGTTTCCTCTTGGCCATCATGGCCTATGACCGGTATGTGGCGGTCTGTTCCCCACTGCGGTACCCTGTGCTCATGAACTGGAAGGTCTGCTTTGTGCTGGCCTTGGCATGCTGGGCGGGTGGGGTGACCGATGGCGTGATTGATGTGGGTATGGTCTTTAGCTTCCCCTACTGTCACTCTCTGGAAGTGGACCACTTCTTCTGTGAGGTCCCTGCCCTGCTGCGCCTTTCCTGTGCTGACACCTCTCTCTTTGAAGACCTCATCTATGCGTGCTGTGTGGTCATGCTGCTGTTGCCTCTTGGGGTCATTGTGGCTTCCTACATCCGGGTCCTCATGGCAGTGATCAAGATGCCCTCCACCGAGGGGAAGCAGAAAGCTCTGAACACTTGTTCCTCCCACCTGGCTGTGGTGGGCCTCTATTATGGCGGAGCTATCTTCAGCTACATGCAGAGAGCCTCAGCCAGGACACCTGTGGGTGACAGGGCTACCTCCATCTTCTACACCATCCTCACCCCGGTTCTCAACCCGCTCATTTACAGCCTGAGGAATAGGGAGGTAGCCAGGGCCCTGAGAAAGATGCTGAGGAGGAATGGAGTGTAGGCATTACTCCTGTCCTTTTCTCTGGCTTCCCCTCTGTCTTCCTTTCCTCTGCCTAGACTCTTCTACCATAGCCATTTCTCTTCTTTGTGCTCATCCATCTACCATGGACAGTGAGAGCAAAGCTTTGCACTGTATAATCTGTAAACACTTACAATTCTTGAGAGGAAGATAGCAGTGGAATGGTACTTGGTCACCATGAATCTTATATGGAGGAATCAAAGCCCATGATAAACTCAGGAATCAGAATTCATTGTTTCCATCCTCCTTCAGGTGGAGAGACAGAGCCTTTCTTTGGGATGATCTCTTAAAAGCAAGCCAAGACAACCAGTATTTATTTAGTCTATTCCAAAGACCCTTATTGTTGAAAAGAGTTTCAAAATCTGATTTAGCCAGAATAAGTCTTCCCTGGGAAATAGGACTCATTTTAGTTTTGTAAACATCTGGTAAAATGCCAGTGCAAGTGAGGTACCTGTGTTTTATTTACATCAGGACAATGCAATTTTTGTCTTTTTAAATTTTTCCTGACTTGTTTCAGAAGCAGCACAGTCTTGGCTGAGGTGAGAGTCTTTTCTGTTGGTGTAGTTGTAGTTCATTAAAGGATGTGGGAAATTAAAAAAAAATTGAGCCAAGAGTGGGATTCGATTCAGAACCCATTTGTTCACGCAGTAGCTGCCACATGACCTTGGGCAAGGTCACTTCTCTGTGGGATTCATGATATTCTTCTGTATCATTACAGCTACTGATAAAGCTAAGTCTGATGTTTCTTGGCGCTCACTCATTACTGATTACTTCCTGTGAAACTCCATTTTTTTTGTGTGTTCCCGTGTTATTAAGAAATGGAAATATAGGGGGCTGGGAAGGTGGCTCAGTGGTAGAGCGCTTGCCTTGCATGCATGAGGCCCTGGGTTCCATTCCTCAGCACTACATAAGCAAAAAGAAAAAA